CTACCCCCCATCCCAAATGATAAAATCCTAAAAATAAAATAAAGAAAATGATGTGTCATCTTTCGACGACACTCCACCGCGACGTCGGGAATCGACGTTCCCACCGGAGATCGGATCTCCGACACAAGTCCGATTCCCTCGTTCCCAGACTACCTATCCTCCCGTCGCTTTCCCCACCGTAGATGAGATCTACGATAGTCAAATCTCGCCTTTCATTTTCATACGAAACATTCTCAATCCCCTTTGTCGGAGATTGTGACTCATGATGTTACTTGCAGGCAGAGCGGTATATAAGCTCGAGGATCCGATGTTCAGGGTCCGCGTTCACCTGCTTACGACAGTGCCGACTGACATGCTTCGTCTGTGCTCTACTTCGTGTCGTCTGTGATTTACTTCGTTTCGTCTGCAATATACCTAATCCTACGCTCGTGTACCTGTAACAGGTGTCTTGTATAATAAAAATTGTCCTACTTTAGTCTGGCCCGAAACCTTCCAGGGGTAGTTCGATCTACTGACATACGCGGTACGTAGACTCAGATAACCACACTTTTTCTATACCATACTTTACAATAGAGCAGAGGAAAAAAAAAACGAAAAATTTGCGAACCATCCGCATGTTGCTTCTGTAAATTGGCGAAATATTTCAACGGGAGCAAATCTCTCAGTGCATTCACTAAGCTTTCCAATTCTTCTTTCGACCTGAAAAATTTCATCATGAACGCACATCTAATGAACTCATTAAGAACTCGGAATGCGCCGTCGGGCACAACAAACAAGACAACCAGAGAGGCAAAAATTGATCCAAACCTGTGGAAAAAGCGTAATCAAAATGGAAAATTCTGGGGCACGATGAAGTCTGTGACTGTACAAGCAATTTCACTGCACATCCTCGTTCAAAAGTAGCGTAGCTGTAATTCTAGAACGCTGTTTCTGCCAAAAGTAACGAAATTTAAGTAATAGGCATCGTATGGTGCAGCCATGGACAGAACGACCATGGAAGGTTGCCTGTTAGCACAAAACACTGCAAGAAACGCAAGGGACGACCAAAAACTTAACGGTACCAAACCTTCTGCTATGTCTCAAAAAAATATGAAAGCATAAAAACACTTCAGTGTCTCCTAAAACATAAATGTACTGAAACAGCGTACATTTATGGCTTAATAAATAAGCGACAAGTAACGCTGCAAAATTGCACCTCTTTGCAACTTGTTGGTCAGCTCAGATCTGGAATTGGCATGATGCCAGTTTAAACTTTAACGTGTGCGTATACCTGGGGGTGCGTGAAGGCTGAATTTGAAATCTTTGGATTGGACGCGGCCAAGAAACAACTCTGTGAAGTTCCAGCCTCCTAGCATGAGCCGTTCCCAAAAACGCTTTCCCGCCAAAAAAAACTTTCACGTGCCCTACTTGGGAACCACGCGGGATCAACTGCCCATTTTGAGGATAGGGGCCCGTACGTATGTGTAGATTATGTTACCAAAGTTTCAGCCTTGCAGCTTTTATGGATCTCGAAATGAAAACTCGTTACAGAGGAACACAGAGACACACACACATACATACATACATACACACAGACAACCCCTTGACAATATGCGTTTTTGCATTGCATAGCTGCAAAAAACGCATAATAAAGAACCATACTTTGCGACCAGATTCCACGAGCCACCGGATTGATCATCCTGCTCGGCTGAGTATACGCGAATCACTAGGTCCGCATCCTGCTGGTACCAATAAGCTAATCCATCTTTGTCATATCCAACAGGCAATAGACGCAGATCGCTTGCCGAGCACGAATTCAACAACTGCAATCGAACTATTAATAAAATACAAAAATTTCAACAGGATATGTTACCACGTGCCAAGCATCATTTGTTTGAATACCGCTTTCACTTCAGCAATTTGTTCGGGGCAAAAAACTCCACTTCTTTGCTCGTATTTATGAAGCGCTACGTATAAACTGTACTTTTTCGTCCCATTTCCAGAAACAGTCTATGCGACCGTATAATTACTGAAGCAATTGCTACAGTCTAAAATAACCACCTGCCGCACTGGATAAGAATACCGACGACTTAATGGATCGAAACATTTTTGTTCATTCAATTTTCTAATACACATAAATTGTAATTGATACTTCCCTGCTCCTTCCTGCCGAATTTCGCAGTTTTTTTTCGAATTTTCGCTTTTTTTTTGGTTAAATTTGCACTGAGTTCGAAAACAGGTAAAGGAGAGGAGAGGATGGAAGGAGAGGAAATGGGGGACAGGTAAATTAATCAATAAAATACTGTAGTACTGTTGAAGAATATGAAATAGAAGGTTGGAGATGACTACATCATTTGTGGCCGATTTTGCTTCCTTACATAAAGAGATTTGTAAATGTTCCTTTGCGTAAGCCTAATGTGTGACGATGTTTGGGTTGAGGTCCTGGTTTGAGATGATATGAATGCAGTACACATTGAAAGGAATTTCCTTTTTGACGAACGGCGTTGACGAACACAACAAAATCGTAACAATAACAAAAAAATCCCATTAGAGCAAACGGCTTTTATACTGTTCGCGGTCGGGCAAGCGGTAGCGCTGGCCGGCCACGCTGACCCGGCATGATCCACCAAGGATTATGCCTCATTGATCACGAAAGCGCTGCCCGATTTGGTGACATCATGTACAACAGCTGAACTTACATTTTCTTTGAATTTGAGATTGAAATCGAATTGGCTTTCACACAGAGCTTTGAGGATTGCAAGTTTCGTAGCGGCGGTGGTGTGCAAGTAGCCATATCGTTCCAGCTGTAGGTACTCACTTTCCAGTGATGGGACCAGTGAGCAGAATTTGAGCAGATACTTCTCCCAAACTTCCACTCGAGCCGATTTGAATGCCAGCTTGCGCAGCAACGTCAAATGCAAATCGATCAGCTCACGATCAACTAAAAAAAAAGCAACTCGTTCTCAACAAATTAAATATTTTAAAATTTAATAATTTAACGATACTCACAAAAATTACTACTTTTTAGACGATATTTTCCTCGCCAGCCAAGCAGTCCCCGAAGAAGTGAGGCACAAACGCGGGACGAACAATGGGTACTAACTGCAGGTATGCAGCTCAGGATCGAAGGGCCTAGCATAATTGTGCCTGGCACGTGGAAGCACTCCAGTAACATCACTAACATGGGGTACCCATACCCAGAACCCCGACGGTTATGGTATTTTTCTAGCGATGGATTGATTTGTTTGCCATTCTCCCGCTTTCTAACATAATAAATTTCAGTCCCATAGCTATAGAAACTGTTTTTAGCACGCTTTGAAAACTGGAAATGCTATTTTTGGACAAAAAAAACCCTCCCCAACCAATACCAGTACGATAAAAACAATTGGGGTGGAGATATTAGATTGACCCCCCTTCCCCCA